TTCCCAACTCTTCCCTTCACAAGCTACAGATCATCCGAAACTCTGCAGCTTTTGTATCTCACGCACCAGGCTCCGTGACCTCATCACTCCCACCCTCGCCCGACTCCACTGGCTCCCCAGAGGATCGAGTTCAAGATCCTCGTCCTCACCTTTAAGGCCATCCATGGCCTTGCCCCCTCCTACCTCTCTGACCTGCTGACACCCTACCAACCTGCCCGCTCCCTCCGTTCAGCGGGCTCAGGTCTGCTCCATGTCTCCCGCCTGACCCGCCCCACCATCAGTGGCCGGGCTTTCAGCCTTTCTGCCCCCACACTCTGGAACTCCATCCCGTGGTCCCTTCGCCTCACTTCCTCCCTTGCCTCCTTCAAGGCTGGTCTCAAGGCCCTTCTCTTCGACTGTGCCTTTGGCCACCTCTCTGTCTTCCGTCACCCCTACACCACCCCTCCCCCATGTTTGGGCCCCGACACCTGACTATTCAGTGCTTTGGGACGTCCTCCCAACGTGAAAGGTGCTCTGTAAATGTAATTTTGTTGTTGTTGTTGATGCCAAGTCGCTGAATTACATGAATAGTTATTCTCTTTATGAAAAAACTTTGAGTCCTGCAAGATTGTATTGATAATGCCGAATATTGCAACAGAAATAGCTAAACATTTACTAGGAATCAAAAAGTAAACCATTGATCAGGAAGTGCGAAATTATGATGACTTTACAAACAATAAGATGACAAGAATCAGAATATACAATGCAAGAAGATACAGCATACTGTTTGTATTGCATGTCAAACAACACTCAAAAAAAAGGCGTGATTGTTGAAAATGTTGGTGGATGGATTAATTGATGGAGTACGAAGACCTGAATTTACACCTGTAAATAACCATATGGAAAGTTCCTAACACAGTATCAACTCAAAGCAGAAGCCGCATGCATCCCCACAGGAGATGGAGGGAAAATAGCTTAGTGAATCATACTTCTACCTTGCACCGTCTAATGCTGTTGTCAATTTGAACATTGCTGAATGCCGGAATCAGACCACCTGTAAAACATTATCTGGAGTGATGCATGATGTGCAGAGACCAAAAGAAAAGGCAGAACAACTCACCTGATGGGTCAATGGATAAGTACACCGCTGTGTGCTGTGGCACCGAGCCGCGTAATGAAGAAATGTCTCCAGTTTTGACCTCTAGTCTTTGATGAGGATAAAATCCAACAGTTTAATCAAATCAGTTACAAAGCATATATACGTTTGATCAAAACCTTTGGGATGAACATGCATGATTGACAGGAGACTGACTGTGCCTGTAAACAATATGTCAATGTTGAAGTAAAACATATTACTATCACAAATTTGACTATTGACATTTATCACTCAAAATGTTAATCTTGTCTTAGTTTTTACAAACAAGTGCCCTAACTGTTTTGGATGCCTTTCCCTGTTGTGGTAAAATTATATATATATATATATGTATATAATACAGTATTTACAAGCAAAATATATTTTTTAAGAAGCTGGTCTGCTCTGCCAGAGTGAATGAATGACAATACTGTACTTTAAATATAAGTAAGTGAAATGTTAGAAACTGAACAATAAAGGTTTGCATTATCCCAGTGTGAATCACATATCATAAGCACTTTTCTTGGAACATTACACCACACTGACAGTCAGCCCCCTCCAACACAATCCTTTTTTGGCTCTTGCCAGCCCTTGCTCTAGTTGCTACACTTTATATTCAGCACTCACTAATCATTCAGATTCTCAGCCATTCTGACCTCCACATTTATTTTAAAAAGTGCTGTATTAAAACGTGTAAGGAACATATCATGAGAAGATGGTTTAATTGTTTTTTTCCCGTGACATTCAGAAAACTCCAACTTTGATGTTGTGGCTTAAGCCATCCGAACACAATCACAATCAGCCTTTCTCGGCACAAATTCTATATGTAGAAGGTTTATTTAAACAGCCAAGACTTGTCGTGACTGTGTTACTTACAGCCAGAAATAAGTAGCAATCGTCAGAGTTTTTGTTTAAAAGAGTGCACATACAATTCCAGTTGCTCAATAACAATAGTATTAGGAAATCAAAGGGTGGAACCTTTTACTGATTTAATAATAACAATCCTTGCTTTTCACATCTTCTAATCATCTCAAAGCGCTTCACAGAATATACTGTAAAGTGAATTGACTGCGTATTTGTGGACGGAACATGGCAGCCAATTGCGCACAGCAGTGTCCCACAAACAGTCGTGGATTGACGTGACTAATTTATTATTGGTTCTTTTCTTGAGGGATAATTATCAGGCATGTGGAGTAAGGAAACTTGCCCAAGGTTTCTCCCTACTGGGAATCGACCACACGTCTTTCGCTTGCGAGGCGAGTCCTCTAACCACTGAACTAGGACTACACATAACAGCAATAACACAGCCATTTGAAAAAAGTTACAGTCAGGCTTGTATGGATCATATAATGGGAAGATGTTTTAATTGGTGGCCGTGCTTTTAGATACTACACACCGAAACTTTGAAACTCTCTCCCTCAAGCCCTCTGCTTTGCCCACTCCTCTCCTTTTTCAGATCATGCTGAAAGCTTTGTTCTTTGACTGTGATTATAGTCATCACCTCCCCCTGGCTTCGCGTCAGGCTCCGCCTGTTAAGCACTCCAAGCCGCTACCTCTGGTGAAGGGTGCTATATAAATGCAAGTTGTTGTTGGTGGTCTATAGTCAAACATGTCTTCAACAACTTTTCAGGGATTGGGCCAAAGCGCCCTTTATATAAGGGTGGCCTCTGAGTAAGGGCTCATTAGGGTGCAAACCAGGCTGTCTGGCTTGTCCCTGGGTGGTTGTTAAAGGGGGTGGTTGCTGAATGAAGTGGTTGTTTGATCAGGGTTGCATTTGATATCACGTCATCGAGACATCTCAAACAGCTTCACAGGATTTACTGTAAAGTGTAATGACTGTATTTTGTAGGTGAACTGTAGGCATTGGCCACTCTAGATAACTTGCATTTAATTAGCGCCCTTCACTGGGGTTCGGGTCTCGGTGCGCTTAACAGTGGCAGAGCTTGATGCTGAGCTGGGGGGAAGGAGAGAGGTGACCGTAAGCATGATCGAAGAGGAAAGTCTTCAGGCGTGATCTGAAACTGGGAAAGGAGGGAACAAGGTGGAGGGATTGAGGGAGAAAATTCTAAAGTTTCGGGGCGTAGTGGCTAAAAGCACAGCTACCGATTTGGGGGCAATGGGGAGAAAGCAGGAAATTGGAATTGAAAGGATTAGTTGAGGCACAAATCAGCCACAATCTAATTGAATGGCGAAACAGGCTCGGAGGACTGAATGGCCTCCTCCTGTTCCTACGTTCCTATGATTAAAACATCTTCCCTTTTACTGTATATTCTGATGGATGGGGCTGGAATCATGCGCGAAAAAAATAAGGAAACGTAATAAAATGTCTGCCTGGTGGTTTCTGGAATATAAGGAGCTTAGTTTACTTTGGCTCCAAGCCACGGTCAGCCCTTCCAAGAAGAGAAACAGGGTTGGTTGGGCTGGTATGATTAGTGCTGTAGCTGCTCAGGGCTTTGTGGAAGTTAAGAGAGTAGATGAGTGGAGTATTGCAGGGTATTTATTGCTCAGTCAGTCAGTCAGTGCAGGGGCGGGTCTGGGCTGCACTAGTTGGTTGAGTGAAACTGCTGTCACTTCATTACTCCTTAGTCTCAGCGCACGTCACTAATGTAATACAAGAAATTAAACAACAGGGGGTTTGTTGTACAATAATCACCAACTTGTACTTCCCACAGGCATAAACAACCTCTTCCTTCTGGTTTTAAAATAGCAATAATAATTATTGTTGTTGTTGTTGTTGTTGTTATTTGTGGGGCTCTGGGGCTGGTGCTGGGGCTCTGGGGCTGGTGCTGGGGCTCTGGTGCTGGGGCTGGGGCTCTGGGGCTGGGGCTGGGGCTCTGGGGCTGGGGCTGGGGCTCTGGGGCTGGGGCTCTGGGGCTGGGGCTGGGGCTCTGGGGCTGGGCTGGGGCTGGGGCTCTGGGGCTGGGGCTGGGCTGGGGCTCTGGGGCTGGGGCTGGGGCTCTGGGGCTGGGTGGGCTGGGGCTCTGGGTTGGGGCTGGGGCTCTGGGGCTGGTGCTGGGGCTGGGGCTCTGGTGCTGGGGCTCTGGGGCTGGTGCTGGGGCTCTGGGGCTGGTGCTGGGGCTGGGGCTGGGGCTCTGGGGCTGGTGCTGGGGCTCTGGGGCTGGTGCTGTGGGAATCACCTCTGCAAACAGGAGAGAGTGAGTGTCAGGAGGAGAGAGAAAAAAGGAAACAATCTTCAAAGTTAAAATCAACTCATCGGATCCCGAGAAAATCCCACAGCAGCTTGTGATATCAACCCTGGGATCTGATCTGATGTGATGTGATCTGCTGCCTCCACCCACACCCACACACACACACACCCCCACAGCCCGTCTGGGTAAGTTGGTGCTGTATTTGCAGGGAGAGGGGTGTGGGGTGTGGGGTCTGGGGGTGGGGGGGTCTGGGGTGAGTGAGTGAGTGAGTGGGGGTTTCAGTGGGGGTTTGGTTTGTGTGTGAAGGACATTTATTTGAAAGAGTTGTAACGTGTCAGTGTTATTCTGTTTGTACAGATAAGGTGTGTTTAACATAAATACATTGCTTACAATACACACACACACACACAAATACACACACACACAAATACATACACACACACACAAATACATACACACACACACACATACACACAAATACACACACACACAAATACACACACACACACACAAATACACACACACACATACACAAATACACACACACACACACATACATACAAATACACACACACACACAAATACACACACACACACATACACACACACACACACAAATACACACACACACAAATACACACACACACAAATACATACAAATACACACACACATACACACACACACAGACACACAAACACACACACACACACAAATACACACACACACACACACAGCCAGAATAAACTGCACAAGTTGCAGTTGTTCCCCAGCCCGGCACTAGGAGCCGGCTCTCGGTTTAGCTCAGGCTCAGACTGGATGGAAATTCAGCATAAATTATATAGGGGTTTGGTTTGTGAAGATACTGGTCAGCACAGTCTGTGGTTAGTGGAGTCGATCCTGTTTTAGAGCCAAGGGGACGGTGTGTGTGTGGGGGGGGATTGCACAGGCGGGTTTTGCGAGCCTTTTTACGAGGGATGTCTGGATAAAATGTAAGTACAGCACAGAATGTGTGTGAGAGAGAGAAGAGAGGAATATCAGAGAGAGAGAGAGAGAGAGAGGAGCTGCTCAGAGAGAGAGACTGAATGAAGGGAGAGAGAGAGAGAGAGAGAGAGATGTGCAGTCAATAGCCAATGTTGGCAGATTGGGCGGGTTCACGCCCAATTGGGCGGGTTTGTGTTGCACTGACTGAACAGATGGCTTGTGTGTATGTGTTTTAAGTGTGTCTCTGTGTGTGTAAGTGTGTGTCTCTGTGTGTGTATGTAAGTATGCGTGTGTCTATGTGTATCTGTATATGTGCATGTATATGTGTATGTATGTGTAAGTGTGTGTGTGTAAGTGTGTGTCTAAGTATGTATGTGTGTGTGTGTGGGGGGGAACAATTAATTTATATTTTTTCAAATTTTAAACCTGCAAAACATTCTTATTCTTGTTTTTCCATCTGAAGACCTTTTCTTGCACAGTTTGACAAAAGCACTGAATTTTCAAAAAGGGAAATGCCAAGTTTTGAGCTTCTCGGCCTGAGATTTTCGACAGTACTTGGCACCGATGGCTGTAAAATGATGGTTATGTTTTTATTTGTGGCAAATAAGTGCTTTCGTGTTGAGGGCGAATTATTTTCCTTTCCTGGATTCAAAAGTTACTTTTTCCCTTCCTGATAATAATATGTTAATGAATAACATTACCTCAAGCTTTGTATTGGTGAATTTGGTGACTGAATTATTTTATCTTAATGATCATTTCAAGGAGTGAGCAGGAGCAGAGGTGGAGGCCAGACTTGGTATTAACTTTTTATAAAGAGGCTAAAACTGTGGCAAGTTGTGCTTTTACATTGGACTTCACTTTTGCTCCCGAGTACTGTGGGTCACAATGACTGTAAAACACTCCTTGCAGGTTCATTTGTTTTTCTTCAATTTAGTTTAGGGTCGTTTTTGTGCCAGGTTTCATTGAGTAACTGTTAATCTGGTAGTTATTATTGAGAATGTAAATATCTTTTGCTCTTTTGTTAGTCTGATCATGATTTTAGGGCTTTGAATACTGGTCGTCATTCGGACTTTATAATATATGTATGTTTTACATTGTATAAGGTCTGTAACAACAGTGTTATATAGCTAAGTAAAGGCATAGGAATATTTTATGTTTCTTAATCTCAGTATTCTCTTTACTAAAACCCAAAATATAAAATATAACAAATAATCTACATTTACACTGCTTTTGTGATTATACTGAAGTAATTTCACCCTTATTTTCTATTGAGTTTCCTTAAACATCCAAATCTACTCTCCATTTGGCGTAAACACTTGAGGTCAATGTAATTTACCCCAGTTACTCTATTCTTGTTTACAGTAGTTGCTGTTACACATATGTGTAATATGTAGCGATATCATATGTAGCGTATCATATCATATCATATGTAGCGATTCATGCTCCATCAACAATTGACTGAATTCACAATGTTCAAACATGCAGGTACAGAATATATGGTCTCCAATTTCACAATAACTTTGCTTCAGAGAAACAGGAACCAGTGAGAGTTATACAAAAATAGGCAAATATGATTTGCCCATCTGCATCTAAACTATGCTGCTTCCAGTTTCTTTGTCTTTTATGCGTTCCAATCCTCTTGACAGTGCTTACGGTCACCATCCCTTTCTCCCTTGCCCGGTGTCCAGCTCTGCTATTGCTAAGAGATTTAATAATAATAATAATAGTAATTTGTTTGCATTTGATATAGCGTCTTATCACATCTTTGAGACATCTCAAAGTGCTTCACAGAATATACCGTAAAATGTAGTGACTGGGCAAAAAGATTTAAGTTGCTGTTGTTGAAAGCACTGAGCTTTAGAATATGGTTCCATGGATAGCTGCTGCCCCATCTTCTCATTATGTGACCCAGACAGTGAGCTTTGGCCTGCTCCTCAGCCATGGAGGAAATCATAGCTGAACTCAATTCTGTTCTCATGTAACATCTGCACTTGCACGCAGAGTCAGTTGCCAGTGAAAAGCAGTGGGAAATCTTGACTGATTTTATTTGCCACCATCTCCTCTAGCTCAAGAGCTCTAAGGCCCATTGTGGCAACTGATGGCCTCATCAGAGAAAAAAATAATTTAGCGCAGAGCTGGATTGAATCTGTGATCTTCTGGTATCTATGGACTATGGGGGTGGGTATGCTGTTTGCTTTAATGGAGAATTCAACAAGTATCCCTCTCAGTACTGTATAACTTTACCACTGAAGGAAGACAACTGCCATAAAATCTAGATTATAATTTTTATTTTATATTTAGAAGGCACCAAACAAGTTTGAAATGGACGAATGATATACCAAATTTACAGCACCAACAAAAACAGTAAAATGGAGAATTTAAAGTATTTCTTGGCAGATTAAATGAACAACACCATCACCATTGTCTAGTAGGTATCTGCTTGTTCCTGAAAAGTCAGCTGCTTGCTACCTCTATTGTCATAGGGACAAAAAGGAGCTGTTCAGCTCTCATTTGCTGCTGCAGGTAAAGTATCAAAGCGAGGTGTGATAAATAGCCCATTTATATTGGTCTTTGTAAACCATAGTGCTTTCCATTTTCAGTGTAGCCCAGTTTGCAAAGGACACCGTGATAACCTATGAATAATTTTCCCAAAGCAGTTCTTGTAAACTTCTGTTTATCAGTGGTCTATGATGAGTTTGTGGGGGTCACCAAATCCAGTTTAACTGCTAGCCATTTCCTCCATAATAGTTGTACCCAATCCACTGCACTGATCTATTAATTAAATACAGATTAAATATAATAGTATATTGCTAGGGGGTTAATGTCATCATTTTAATCATGGGTATCCTTTTCTCTTTTGTTTCAAATGACAAAAAACACAGAAAGTTGAGATGAATCTTATTTTACTGGAGAATACCCGTATCATATTAGAGAAGTATATTAAGATTTATTTTACAATTTAAAAAAACTTCAGTAAGAGTTGCACTGGTAGTGGATTATTATGTCTAGCCATGTTTGTTCCTTTTTAGGGTGAGGGACTTGGTGACGCACAAAATTGCTGCAATCAGCATCCTGGCCTCTACCAATCTTCCTGGTAACCTGCTAAAGCTGTTACTTACTCTCTGTGTCAAGGAATATTTCCTGGTTTCTGTGTTAAGCTTACCCTGAAACATTGCCCTCTTTCCCTGTCCAATCTGAAATATGTGTTTTGTTTCGGGTGTAGTCCACACTTAGCTACCTGTTCATGTTGCTTTGAGAAGCAGATGAGCTAGAACAAATACTGTTGTGTCTTGGATCACTAGAACCAGTTTGCTGCTTTCTAGTTTCATGTTTTGAACTGTTTTGGAGCACACCTTTCAATATTATGTGTGCATGATCAACAGAACAGGGCAGTGGATGCCAAGTGGAACATCACCATCACATTGATGCTCTTGATGATTTCATACATGTCTGGGTAAAGAACAGCAAGGCATGGGGAAAGCTCCGGGCAGTTTGACTGGAGCTCACTTATCCACAATATGACAGCAAACCACTGCTCCAGCTGACAGTATTGACAGAATACAGCACAGTGAACCGGAGAGATTGACCACAGTTAAGCAATAGCTTATTTTATTTAAGTACTCAGTGTACCTGGCTCAGCACTACAAAGCAACTGATAACGTTTGCAGCATCAAGTTCTGCTTTGGAAAGTTTCCTGTTGCTGTCAGGTGGTAACGGATGACTGACTGTAATGTGGTATTTGTAGAAGTACGGAAACATTAATGTGTGGAGTGTTCTTAATATCTGATTGCTGACACATTGTAGCAATACAGATTTATTAAAAAATCTCTTTAAATGGTAATTGTGAGTACTAAAGGCCTTGCTTGTCATGGCTTTCATCTCATTTTTGTTTGTTTGGTGACTCACAGGTTTGGTAGGAAAAAGTTTGACTCAACAAATCTTGCTTTTGCCAGATGAGTCCCCAAAGTAGGCTTTGTACTACTGGAAAATACGGATCATTTGCTTGCAGTTTAATACAGAATTGGTCATAATAATCTACACCAACATTCCACAAATCCTTCAGCAATTTCACAATTTTTCTGACACTTAATACTCACCTAATGTTCGTGGAACTGTTTTAGTAGAACTGTTTTGAATCCAACAAAAACACAATTCTTTGTTTGAAATTTGCCATTAAAAAGGAACCAAACAAACCTGTGAGATAAAATGAAGAACCAAATAATAATAATAATTCTTGTAATTGATACAGAGCCTTATTATGATCACCATTTTTTTATCTGGAGGATTGTTGGACAGGACACCAGGAGAAACTCCCTTCTCTTTTTCAAATAGTGGCATCTTTAATGTCCTCCTAACATATTCTCGTTTGGGAAGAAGGAAGTGGTGTCTCCTTGGAGCTGAACTAGCTCCATAGTGACATGTTTGACAACAGAATGTCAAAATTGAGTCAGCTCTCTGGCGATCTTGATAGTACAGTTCCTGCGCCAGGTGGGTCTGCAGTATTCCAGGAGACTGCTGACGACAGCACAGTTTGGCTGATCGGCAGGACCTGGAAGGACAGATAAGTCATTGGGGGCTCCTGCAAAGCCAAAGCTCTAACGGGTCTTCGCTGGACAGGCAGCAGGAACACTTGCCAGACAGTGTTTTCAATGGCACGTTATGTTGTTTTAGCTGGTTAGAAGCCAGCAGTACCCCAACACATACTCTGGGTACCCAAACCTTGGTTCTTGCCTACCCTCCTTAATTAGATAAGCAGGATGCATCCCTCCAGGGAAAGAGATAGTATTCCATTTCAATAAATATCTCAGGAGTTTCCATGTATAGATGGGATGCAGGGAAGTCTCAGTTTGATTTGGATACTTCTAAGCATGGGTGATGCATTTCTGTATGTGTCAGACACATGGCTGACCCAAAAAAAGTCCATCTGAACAGGCAGATGGAAGCTTGGTTCAATGCTTCATTTGAAGGATGTCACCTCTGACAATATAATTCACCTCCAGCACTGCAT